CGGTTGCGGTGGGCGGGACCTCGGTTGCAGTGGGCGGGGCCTCGGCTGCAGTGGGCGGTTCCACCGGCCTCTGGACTGGGGCGCAGTAAGGGGCGGCCACATACTCGTTCCTCTCCCCTCCCGGCGCCTGTTCCTGGCCCTTTCCCGGTTCCTCTGCGGAAACCTCTTCCAGAAAGTTCTCGAAGTTCACCACCAACTTGTCAATGAGGTCGCTGGGGGCCGGCCAGGGCTTTAGAATCCGCTCGTCCTCCGTGCTCGCGGGGTCGTCAGCCTCCTTCCCTTTATCCTGGAAAAGGGAAGGGACACCCCCGATGGCCATCTGGGGGCTCCACGTGAGTAACCAAAAGCTCACTGGGCTCCCAACACCCCACCTGTGACCAGCCCCCTGTGTTCCTCCCAGAGGCCAGCGTGGAGGCACGTCCCGTGCAGGCCCGTGGGTGGGAGGCGGACAAGAGAGGCCCGTCCCCTCCAGGCCCGTCCATGGAGGACAAGAGAGGCCCGTCCCCTCCAGGCCCGTCCATGGAGGACAAGAGAGGCCCGTCCCCTCCAGGCCCGGCGGTGGGAGCCGGACAAGAGAGGCCCATTCTCGAGGAAGCGCCCTCCGCCTGCAGAGTTTCTCCTCCCAAGACCTCAAGGCCATTGCCCACAGTCTAGGCGCACCCCGGCCAAGAGGGCGGCATCACAGGCAGACCCTCACAGGGGGAAACCGTGATCACAGACACACCACTGCCCCCCATCAGAGCTCAGGGTGGCCCCGTGGCAGGCATGACGTCAGCTCTGTCATCTCTATATCGCCAGAGCCCCCGGTGCCTGGCACCCAGTGAGTGACCCTAAGTCCTGCCCAGGGGCCAGAGCTACAGACTACAAAACGCTTCAGACAGACAGTGCTGCCTGTGAACTCATTTACTCTCCTAGTAACTCTTAACAAGGAGGGACGTCAATAGGGGCCTGCAGGACTGATGAAGGAGAGAAGAAAACAAACATAAATACAAAACTAACAAAAATGAAAATAACTAAGTAAAAATAACTTTTAAAATGTCCATGTTAAAGAGAGACTTCCAAGTTTAAACAAAGGCTCATATTAAAAATTCGGGCACCAAGAAATACCAGAAACAGTCGTTCAATGATAAGGATGTGTGGGTTATATTTCATCAGGCTTATTTTTACTTAAGCAAGAAATTCAACCTTAACATGTTCACAACAGTTTTCAGTGTAAAACTCATAAAAAAGGGGGGTTTCTGCTTCGGTGTCATTCAATAAAAAAGGCCCCTGCCAGTTAAAACTTGATGACTCTCCCAATCTGAGAAAAACGATTTGGGGCAGCCCTCCCCAGCCCTTGGACACTGCACATGGGTGTCCCCTCAGGGTCTCCATGTGGCCCCTAGGTCCCCTTGGCTGCTTTTCAAATGACCTCAAATAGCCAGGCTCTCTTGCTCCCTAATTAGGCCCTTGAGAGTGGGACCAGTGTCTTTCTCCCGTGGCATCCATGGTAGGACCGGTCCATGCCCAGCACAGGCTGGGTGCCTGTAAGCCTGCTGACATCCTTTCCTTCTGTCCAGAGACTGAGGTCAGAGTGTTTCCGGGAAGGCTGATCCACGTCCAGCCGCTGGTGGACCCTCAGGTCCTCTCTGCACAGAGCTCAGCCCAGCAAGGCCCAGCTCCTACGACCACCCACTCAGTGACTCCCTAAACAGAAACAGGGTTCTCACCTTGAGGTCCCCTCCATGCCACGTGGCAATGCTGCTCTCAGCAGGGTTGGGAACATCAGGCCAACACAGGTGCTTCAACTTGCTGAGAAGAGACAGGGTTTTCAAACAGGAGTGAGTCCAAAGCCATCTTACGTGGATGGGACAGCAGAGCCGAAACGGGGGGCTTTGCTGACGGGAACCGCGCGGCTTCCTGTGAAACAAGGGCAGGCTCCCGGCCTCCGGCTCAGACTGGGAAAGTGCAGCCATTTGGGGGTGAAATTGCCAGTCACCCTGGGACATGACAGGAGGAGACCTGTCCCCACACACAGCTTCTCCTACCTTTCCCTCCCCACCCCTGCTACAGACATCACCATCGGGGGCCACTTCGCTGAGGTTCGTCCTCTGGGAAGAGCAGGGCTCTAAACATTAAAAGCTGCCCACACTTTAGTTGGGGGGTTCTCGGAGCATGGTCCCAGCCAGTAGCGGCATCACCGGAAACTTGTTAGACATGCAAAGCGCATGTGAATTTGTGCTAGTGACTTGGTTACAGCCTGCATTCGGGAGCTGAGGCTGACATTGGCGTGACCGTGACCAAGCACAGCTGCTCGGCAGAGGTGGCCCACGATGTGCGATTCTGGAGAGAGAGGCCTCCCAGGGAAGGAGCCGTTGACCTCCAGGGTAGCAGGAGGCTCTCTGGGGACAGCCAAGACCCTGAAGACAAGCTTGCTTCCCACAGTGGCCAGGAGGCAGGGCCAATGCCCCTGCAGCCAGCCTTCCTACACCCCACCACCAGTCAGGAGCTGAGCCGAGCACATGGCTGGCCAGCACCCTAACTCCATGGTCCAGGGGCCCACAGCTCCCGGCCCTGCCCAGGAGAGGAGCTCATGGCTTTGAGTCCTCCTGCTGCTGCCAGGGACCCCTCTAGACACCGAGAGAAAGGGCCTTCTCCCAACTCTGCTCTCAGATGCCGAACTCAGTGGATAAAGCCTGTGGGGCTGCTTGTACTCCCCTCCCCTGGGGGCCTCAGAAAAGCCTGGGCCTGGTGCACGGGGCTGTGGGTGGGGACGGTCCTCTTGTTGGTCAGAACTCTGTGAGCCACGGTACATAATAAACTCAATGGATTGAAGCAGATAGTAAACGAACGGGCACCTCCTCGGTGGTGGCCGGCCCTCCTCCACCGAGACCTTCCCACCTGCCCCCAGCCCTGGTTCTGAGGGTGCATGCCAGTTGGCCACACTCACTTGGGTTTTCTGAGACTATACCCCACAGTCAGGACGGTGAAAATAAGCAGCCCTCCTCCGACCAGAGCGGCGACGAGGCAAATCTCCAGGACGCCTTCGGGAAAGGGAGAGCAGGGGTCAGCAGGGGCCCGCTCCTCAGGTTCTTGGTAAACATCAAACATCCTGGGGTTCCTTCTTTCAGGAGCATCAGCAACACTTCCGTACTATTTCCTTTCAATTCATGCATGTTCGTTCAATTAAAAAAGAAAACTTGGTGTTTGCGGCTCCCACCCAGCTCTCCCTGGATGACAGCGACAGACATCGTGCTCACAGGCTCCAGCTTCATTCGTTTAGTGACTGTCTTTTGGGCAAACAACGCTCTGGGTAATAAAACAAGCGGCAATAGGCAGGAACTACGGGATCCCTGCTCTCGCTGGGCTTATGTTCCAGGAGAAGAATTCAGATGATAGACAACACGGGCTTCTCTGAGAAGTGAAACTGGAGCTCATGTTAATAATGAGAAGGAACCACCCTGCAAAAATACAGGGAAAGCTTCCCAGGCAGAAGCAGCAGCAAATGCAAAAGCCTTGAAACAGGGGCAAGTTCAGGAGCATTAACAGCAGCAGGAAGTGGTGGGAGACAGGTCAGCAAGGGGCAGGCGCCAAACCCTGAAAGCTACTCGAGGGAGTTTGGATTTCATTTAAAATACAACAGTCCTGGCCAGTTTGGCTCAGTGGTTAGAGCACCTGTCCTCGGACTGAGGGGTCCCGGGTTCCATTCCAGCCAAGGGCACTTACCTTGCTTTGCAAGCTCGACCCCCGGACCCAGTTGGGGTGTGTGCGAGAGGCAACCAGTTGATGTGTCTCTGTTACATCGATGTCTGTCTGTCTCTCCCCCCCCTCCCCACTCACTCTGAAAAGCAATAAAAACTTACCCTCAGGTAAGGCGTAAAATACAACAGAAGCCACTGGTGGGCTGCAAGCAGGGGCCTGGGGTTCTAAACTCTGGCTGCCATGTGGAGGCCAGATGGGAGGGACTTGACGATGGGAGCTCTGTGATCTGCGGACCAAGACTAAGGAGCTGCCAGGCTCAAAGGCTGGCTCACTCTCAGTTCGACCCCTGGGGGAAATGCCATCAGCTACTACAGTTGGCGCCTAGTGTTGTGAAAGTACAGCACAATTTCAAAAGATTTTAAATAGCAATTTCAAAAAGAACTCCAAAAACGCAATGTGAGCCCATAAAAAGAGAGCGTGTTTTCTAAGTAAAAACATCCCATGCTCCACATTCCAGACCCATGAGGCCGTCTCCATTCTGTTGAAGACGCGATGAGCAAGGGGATTTCCAGAAGATTTAGGGCTGATTCTTTTTAGGTGTTACTACAAAATGTGTTCCTTCATTTTCATTATTTATTTATTTGTTTTTTAAATATATTTTTGTTGATTTCAGAGGAAGGGAGAGGGAGAGAGAGAGAAACATCAATGATGAGAGAGTCACTGACCAACTGCCCCCTGCACGCCCCCCCGCTGGGGGATGGAGCCCAAAACCCCAGCATGTGCCCTGACCAGGAATCAAACCCTGACCTCTTGGTTCATAGGTCAACGCCCAACCACTGAGCCACGCCTGCCTGGCTGTTCCTTCATGAGGAAGGAGCCAGATGGCCAGTCTCCCCCAGTTCTGCCCTCCCTCCTCTCTGCTCACCCCCACGNACTGCCCCCTGCATGCCCCCCCGCTGGGGGATGGAGCCCAAAACCCCAGCATGTGCCCTGACCAGGAATCAAACCCTGACCTCTTGGTTCATAGGTCAACACCCAACCACTGAGCCACGCCTGCCTGGCTGTTCCTTCATGAGGAAGGAGCCAGATGGCCAGTCTCCCCCAGTTCTGCCCTCCCTCCTCTCTGCTCACCCCCACGCGCCTCGTGGGAAGGTCCATGAGCCCGGGAGCAGATGGCTGCTCTCACGCAGGCACTGCTCTCCCACTGGCTCCCCTGCCTCTGGAAAACACCATCTCTTGCCAGCCTAGGAGAGAAGCTGAGGAGCTGGAAGGACATACTCACTGATTGACAGTGTTTTGAAGCTGATCCTGGTACCGTTGGTGCCCCCAGCGCTGGTGCTGGCCATGACCTGGACAGTATAAGAGGTCTTTCGGGTCAGAGACTCTAAGCTGTACTGCAGGAGGCTGGAGTTGACCGTTGTGGCTGAAGAAAAAATGCGGACGTCAAACACCACAGCCGAGAAACACCAAAATTAGAATGCTAGGACCAGACTTGGCCATTGCATACCCAACCCCTCTACCCATGTCCTCCTTAAATTAGCTTTATCAAGGTGGGTCAGGGACCTAAATACAAGAACTCAAACTATAATACTCTTAGAAGACAATATAGGACAAATCTACTTGGTCCTGATTTTGGCCAGTTTCTTAGATGTGACACCAAACACACAGGCTCAAAAGAAAATAGATTGCACCAGACTTCATCAAGATTCAAAGCTTTTGTGCATCAAAAGACACTACCAGAGTGAAAAGACAACCCACAGAATAGGAAAAAATATTTCAAATCATGCATTTGATAAGGAACTTGTATCCAGAATATATTTTTTAAAACGTCTTACAATTCAATAACCAAAAGACAACTCAACTTAAAAATGGGCAAGGAGATGGCAACTCTCTCCTAAGAAAATATACAGATGACCAAAAAGCATGTGCAAAGATGTTCAACATCATTAGTTACTAAGAAAATGCAAATCAAAACCACATTAAGACAGCACTCGTACCCACCAGGATAGCGACAATTGTTTTTGAATTAGAAAGTAAGGGGTGTTGGTAAGGATGGAGAAATCGGAACCCCGGAACCTTGCTGTGAAATGGTGCAGCCCCTGTGGAAAAGCTCGGTGGTTCTCCAGTAACTAAACTACAATTATCATGTGACCCAGCAGCTCCTCTCCTGTGTCTCAAAGAATTAAAAGCAGGGGCTCAAACAGACATTTGTACACAGACCTGCCAAGACCCCATTGTGCAGTGTCCACAGGAGCCAAAAGGCAGAAGCCACCCAAATGTCCATCAGCTGGTGAGTGGCTAAACCAACGTGGACTGTCCACGCAACAAAACATTATTCGGCGAGAAAAGGGGATGAAGTACCAACACGCACCACGACTTGGGTAAGCCTCAGACACCGCGCTGAGTGAAAGAAGCCCGACACAAAAGGCCGCGTCGGGCATGACTCCATGCATATGAAATTTCCAGAACAGACAGAAAGGGGTTCTGTGTGCCAGGGGCCGTGGGAAGAGGGGCCAGGGAGTGACCGAGTGGGATGGAAACAGGAAGTGGCGATGGACACGTAACATCATGGATGTACTTCATGCCCCCTAATGTATACTTCCAAATGTGTAAATGGTACATTTTTTTAATGTATTTTATCACAACAAAAACTCAGCCTTACAGAAATCTAAGCTTAGCCCAGAAATTAGGATGTCAGCAGGTACTGTAGTTTCAAGAAAGTCGTATGATTTGGCAGTGGACAGTAGGCGTCTCAGTAAAGGGCCCTTCGCTGAGGTAAGTGCTACCAGACAGGGTCTGTCCACCCTGCACCGTGGTCCAGGCAAATCCCACCTGGAGTAAGAGGAAGCTCCCAAGACGTGAGCCTGTCCCCGCCTGGCCAGGGCACATCATATTAACCCCTCCGGCTCCTACAGCACATTCAGATACCAAAACTCCACTCTCATTTGATTCCAAAAACCTCAGCAGGTAGGTGCACTTGGCCCCATTTTCAGAAAGGCTCAGGGAAGCTAAGGGGCCTGTCGGAGGCTGCAGCCACCCCGTGGCCGGTCGAGCTGTCGCCTCTATTCGGGGCTCTGGGGTTCTTCAGCTTGGCTAGAAGCGCACTTACAGAATTCCTCCCCATTCTCTGCTTGGTAAAATATGGTGTAGTTGCGGATGAAACCGTTTCTCTGATTTTTGGGAATCTCCTTCCACGTGATGGTGACTGCCTTCACACCGATGTTCTCCGCCTTGGTCACGGGACCTGCCGATGGAACTTTACAAGAAAGAGGGTAAACCGTGAACACCGAATCGGCCCAGCAGGTCCTGCCCCCACGGGGCTCTGTCCAGTCCTCAGACCAATGTCTGTGTTGGAGGTGGGGCAGGGAGGGGCTGATGGATCGACTCGTCTGGGAAGATCGTTCTCTGTAGTCACCCATCCTGAACAGGAGGGAAGAGAGACTTTCTCATGGACCTCACTCTGATTGGACACCCAGCTGTTCCTGTCACGTCTGCCCTAGACATGACCAAACAGTCGAAGAGCTGCGTCCATGGGCTACTGTGGGAGACGATGTATTTTCCACTGTTGAGTCTGGAAGATGTTAACTTCCAGAAAGATCAAAATGAAGTCTGCGAGGTTCACCAGTAAGACCCTTGCTTATTGCTACGCAATTAGAAATAATCTCTGAGCATCTCCAACTTAGAATCAACTCCGTAGAGTCTCTAACTTGGTCTTAACTAAACATTACTTCTGCGCTGTTTTCTCAGTTCTGTGGTGACTCTGGGAAGTCATCTCATCTGTCTGAGCCTCAACTTTCCATTTGTGAAATGAGAGGCTTGGACTTGATGATCCCTAATGTCTACCCTGCTTTGAAATTCGGTGTGTCTCTAACCTGACCTCCACCGCGTCGGCACATGGAGCCACTGCATACGCCAGGTGAGGCAGGACAAGCTCCAAGCCCACAGGCATCCTGGCCTCAGCCGAAGGCTGGACGGGCCCAGCGTTTCCTTCCCCCACGGGCCCCTGTCCGCACATACCGCCTTCTTTGGCGTAAGCCTGGACAGAGTATGGCTCGCACACTCGGTCTTGCAACACAGGATACACAGAGATGTTGTAGCACCAGAAAGGTGTTAGTTTATCTGTAAAAAGAGAGAGAAACAAGCATTAAGTGAAGGGTGTGGCATGTAGAAAGAATGCTAGACTGAGAGTTACGACCTAAGACTCATAGAAGATATTCTATTTCTCCACATTTCCTCATCTGGAAAGTAAGGAGGTTAGGTTGGATGCTCTCTAACGTCTATTCCAGTTCTAACATTTTCAAATTAATTCTGAGAACTGAACCCGCACCCCTCTGATGAAATGCCAGAGCCCCCAGGAAGGGAGAGGAAAGAGGTCAGGCTTCTCTCCATCACTGGTCTTGCCGTAGGACACGGGTGCTGTCCACGGCGTGCCACCCTGAATTCTTCAGTTCCTCTGTCGCCTGCGCCCCGCACAGGTAGTCTTCGTTGGATGTGGCTGAGTATTAGGAGAAGTTTGGGCTGACGGGACTAGGGGGATACAGCCTCACTCGTGTGTCTTACAGGATCAGGGCCGTCCTTGAAGAGAAGGCTCTTCCCTGCATCAGTCACCTGGGGAAGGGGCCCAGCCAGACTGAGGGGCCCCTGGGTAGGACAGATGGACACACACTCTGGGGTCACCCACGTGGTCGTGGTATCTGGGAAGAGGTCTCTGATGGCGGAATGAAGAGGACGCTTCCCGCTGGGAAACAGGCCCTGGACATGGTCTGACACCCACGGCGCCCTGTCCCAGCGCTGCCGGGAAACGCGGGGAAACGCCACGAAACGTGCACTCGCCAGCTTGTCAAGCGGAATCTACTCAGGAGGAGCGTGTGGGGTCCTCAGTGGCTACCTTGCCGGATCGTCCAGTTCCTGGCCCCAAACACCGATTCCCAGCACAGGGTGGCGGGTTCAAAGTCCAAATCTGGGAACCACTCCACCATCCACGCGTCCGTGTCCAGGGCGGAGCTCTGCCACGCCACCACCAGCTGGTCCCCAGAGAGTTGGGCCTGCATGGCCTCGATGCACGGAAATGCTGCAGGGGGAGGGAAGGAAAAGCACTGCTCACAGCCACCAGCTCACCTCCAACCCACCACCTCGGCACCGCTCACGCCAGGTGGTGAAGGTCAGAGCTCAGGACCGCCCCTGCCGACCCCCATCCCACGGTGGTACTTTCACCCTTCGACTGTCCCTTTCCCTCACCCCACCTTCAATGATCGAGTGCCCCCTGGATGTTTCTTCATCTCCGCAGAATGTCCTCTCACTGCGGTGTTGGTGACTAAAAGAACTTGCCTTCAGCAGGTGTCTCTGCAGCGAGCCTGAGACCCAGGCTGAATCTCTAAAGGTGGGATTTCAGTCACCATGATCCTGAGGCAGTGTGAGGGGAGCTGGGAGACCAGTTTCCAAATCCTCATTCTATGAAATATGCACTCATTACCGGTCCTCCATCATTCAGCAAAAAATGTATGAGCAGTTTCTCCAAATTCAACACAGCCCCAGGGGCAGGAGGAGACAGGGAGCCTCCCTGGGGAAGGGGCTCTGACTGTCAACACCTGTGCTTTCCTGTGACTGGCGTGAAGCTCAGTCACTCCAGGACCAGCGACTCCAGGTCTCAGATGCCACTCTGCTCCCCCTCAGCCCCTCCCTCCGCCTCTGCCCCTGAGCACAGAGGCCCCTCTGCTCTGCAGCTGCCCGGGGCCAAGGTCGCCCAGAACTCAGGGGAGCTCAGGCCAGAGGAGCCTGGAGGTGTGTCTGCTCCGTTCCCTAATTGTAACGATGGGAAGTGGAGGCCCACAGAGGCGAGGGAGTCACGGGTCAGCCTCGCACAGCACCTGTGACTGCAGTTCTATCTAAGTCACCTATTAGCTCCAAGTCCAAGGTCCTGGGTCATTTCTTGTGCGCACTTGGAGTCACACAGGCCTGGGCCTGAGTCTCACCTGGGAGACCACAGGCCGATCACCAAGCTTTCCTGACTCCCAGCCTCATCATAATTGGTTCTAATGGCGTCGACTTCGGGGGCTGCTTCAAGGGTAACATGAGGTTAACCTGTGTCATCTTAGTGCCGTGTGACAGACACTGATGGACAACACTGGGCCTCATACTCAATGATCGCTAGGCTTATAACAGTGATTATAACTGTTCTCCGGTTGACTCCACTTTATTAAGCAAAGTTCTATAAAACACTGCTTTCTTATGTGTCTAACACAGGCGTCCATAAACCTCTGTAAAAAGAAATAGTAAATAAAGAGCCAAAAAATAAATATTTCAGGTTTTGCAGGCCGGATGTCTCTGTCACAAGCCACTCAACTCCGCCCCTGCTGGACAGGAGGCAGGGACACTATGTAAACAAATGGGTGTGGTCGTGTCCCAGTGAAACTTTATTTGTAAAAGCTGGGGTCAGGCCAGGTTTGCCTACACCTGGTCTGGGGCCGTTACTGCTGATGGTCACGCTAACGTTTCTGATCAGCGCAAAGCAAGTCCCTGCAGAACGGGGAAGAACCCAAAACCCCCGTGCGAGTTTAGCATAATTTTAGGGACGGTTCAGAGGAAAATAAAGCAGGAGGATCTGCTGCCTACAACTCCTCNTCAGCCGATGACCACGCTAATGCTTCTGATCAGCGCAAAGCAAGTCCCTGCAGAACGGGGAAGAACCCAAAACCCCCGTGCGAGTTTAGCATAATTTTAGGGACGGTTCAGAGGAAAATAAAGCAGGAGGATCTGCTGCCTACAACTCCTCAAATAAGAATTTTAAAAAGGGGGTTTTATTCTAAAACAGGATGTAAAGCGAGTTTGCCTGGAAACTGTGAAACGTTACAGAAGTAGGACGAGAGGTTCCCCGGCAAGTGCAGGCCGAGGAGTCCCCCTGACTTGGTAGTCGAGTGGAGCGGGGGACGAACAGCAGCGTGAGCAAAGAAAACACGAGTAGATAAATTTTAAAAAATTAAAATAATAACAAATAGAGCCGCTATAAAAGAAGAAAAGAGAAGAAGAAAAAAATACGAGTGAGCAAAGCAAGGCTGGGGCGGACGTGGTCGGTGCTGCGAGGGAAGGTTTCAGAAGGGGGTCGGCCGCCGGGAGGAACGCAGCAGCTGTGAGCGCTCTCGGGGCTCG